CAGTGGGTGCTGCGGGCGGGCTGACACTTTGTCCGCTTGTTGGTTTGCAGAGGGGCGTTCTCCGTCGTGAGGAGGGGCATGAAAATCACCACAGGACAAGAGTACGCTGCCAAAATTATCAACACCAAAAAGCTTTCGGCTAGGGGTGGGTATATCTTAACCTCGTATTTACGACAGCTCCTCCCGGTTTTTTTGCATGCTTGTGGTAAGCGTTTAAAAAAAAAAAAAATAAAAATAGCTAAATGATTTAATACGTTTCTTAATACATTTTTTTTATTTCCTTAGTTGGTTTTTTGGTTTTGTTTTTTTATTTTTATTTGTTTCCTTGGTGCTTGGGGTTTTTTCCTTATGTTAAATGTTTCATGGATTGGCTGCATGGAGGTCTGAGGTTAAAGCGTTTCAAGAAAAGACGTACAAATGCTAAAACATAACATAATGCAACCTCTTCATTTCCGTGTCTAAATCACTTTGAATATCAGCTTGCAAGCATTTTGCAAGCCGATTCTTTGGGGGAGGTTAGGAAATACTAAGCTTCCATTATACCTTTTGGTTTAAAAACTATAGCTTCACTGAATTCCGTGTTTCCGTTGCATTTAAACACGAACATCAAGGCCAATCTGACTGTGAATGCAGGGGAGAAACTCGCCATCTCCCTCGTGTAAGCTTTGTTATGAGAAGAAAATGATAAGGAGGAAAATTATCATTTTATGAACTGACAAGGTTTGTGAAGCAAGGCATTCTGATTACAACCCGACCGCAATACCTGCTGCACAGCTTGTTTGTACTTTCCGTGGGATGCGTATATTTGCAAGGTATTTCCAGTATAGGGGGATATGTCTTTAGGATACATTTCAGGTAAATATACACATGCTGTGGGTTACCCGTGTCGAATGCAAGCTTTAAGGGTGATACCTCAATTGCTTGTTAAATCCAAGTCAGCGTGCTTGCTCTAGATGATGTCGGGGATTACGGATTATTCTCCGTTAACGTTACCTGTGTGTTGATATGAATTCGTGGTGTGGTAAAGACCATGGAAGCGAACAAGCAAGCGATGTCAGAGTGTAAACCTGTTTCTGGCCTGGCTTGCTTATTGACGCAAAGGAATCGCTGCAGGTAAACCGCGGTTTGACTTAATTCATTGAATTTAAATGTAAAATATTACACGCGGCATTATGGCATGTTCTGGTGACGTGCTGCTGTCTGATAAAGATCTTTCAACATCATGTCATGCTCTTATCTTCAGCTGATGAAAGTTGTGTGAAAATTCACTTTTTACCTTTTGCTGAATTTTAGTCTTCGTACTCACACAGCAAGACTTGTTTTCCTTTATTTTTCAAAAGTTACTTTAATTTAAAATACACCTTTGTAGAGTTAGGGATTTAAAGGGAGGGAGGTTAAGGAAATGGTAAGGCTTGAGATAAAATATTTTCACAAGCTTGCTTAAAAATATTTTCACAAGCTTGCTTAAAACAGGTCTTCCATTTTTGTTAGCACAATAACATGATCTGTTGAATTTTGATGCTTAAAATAAACCACCGAATTCTGTGTGATTTCGTAGACCTGAGTACCTTTCAACGTCAGAAGCTGTAGTGATATCAGCACCAGGTTTCTTGCGTGCCGTGGGTTTTATGGATGATGGGATAAATCTTGACATGCTAGGACAAATTCGTAAAAACTTGGTCTTCCTGAGCATGTTCCAAATGGTGACTTCTATATTTCAGGCTTTAATTTTTGTACTTTTCTGTTCATGAAGGACCAACTCCGGTCCTTGGTGTAGCCTGTTAATGAGTGGGAGCCCATTTGGGGAAAATTTGGCTCATAAGTTGGAATGAGGCAAAATTCACGCAGAGATTTTTCTACAGGTGAGCCCATAAAGGAAGGGGTTACGCTTCAGAGCCGCACCGTGAAACGCCCTTTCTTATCAGAACGTGTGTGGTGCCCGGTCTGTGAATGCGTTTCTGTCTGTTTTCAGAGACTCCAGGAATATCTGAGCTTTTTTATTTGCTTGGTTGTTTTTTTTTTTTTTGTGGTGGTTGTTTTGGTTTTCAGCTCCTTGAAATCTACTAAACAGCTTTTGAAGAGCAAGCTTCTTGGGGAAATATTCAGATTCCTATTAGGTGATTCTTTAATTGCCGAAAGGTGCAGTTTAATTGCACTTCTGCAAAAACTAAACATGAAAAAGCCTCAAGCTGTGGTGCTTTCTCCTGGCTGGTAATAGGCACGCAGCTTATAACTAAGATACTGGTTGTTTTTCCTGCTTCTTACTTGAAATATCGATTATAGTGTAAATCTAAAGGACTCTTCATTGGGTCGGCTTCGTCTGTGAGCAGAGTTAAGAGGTTCCTGGCTCGGAAATGCGTTTCCCTTGCACGGTGCCTGGCCCTCTGGAAGTCTTTTAAGCACGATGTTGAATTTGGGCCTTCTCGCTTGCAAGACTGATGAAGAATGGTTTCAATGTATAATATGAAGGAGTCAAGACTAAATAAAACTTGCTTAAGGTAGCTTTGAAATTAGAAGTTATTTAACTGGCTTCAGGTCAGCCATAACCATGCTTGTCTCCCCATCCCTCCTTCACCTCAGCCATAAACGTTCTTGGAGATTTATCCGAATCCTTACTTCGTTAGTCCTTCTAAACGGAGGAACTGCTCTGGTCGACTTGGGCCAGCAAAGGTGTGTTCTCATTTGTTTCCTGCTGTACTTAGAGGGAGACTTCAGGCTAATTGCGTGTGTGCAGAGGCTTTGGTTTTAACTTGGAGGGGAAAGTAAGCTCTGCCCCCTGCCCTAGCGGAATTAACCTTTGTGCTTTTAAGTTGATCATCAGTTATTTATATCTGCTACGCTCTTATTTACAGATTGCAGTTCAAAATGTAATAAAAACACTTCAAAAGAAATTACGACTTCAAATATTTGACTTTATGTGGCAATTCCATGTTTTTCTACTTTTAATAATAGGAATAATAAATATTTGCAATTTAAATCTCCATTTCAATATAGCAGAAATACTTTTGCTTATTAGCTTAGCGTATATTCTCTTCTTAAAGTGCTCTTAAGATGCACTTAAAAGTTCTGAGCTTTGACTTGGTATTTACTAAGTCAGCTTATGTATTACATTTATATTAGAATATCAACAGCTAGTTTTGTGTCTATAGAGTGTGTTCTAGACAAGCGTGCACGATTTGATGCTGCTGATGATTTTTAAAAAGGGGGGAAAAAAAAAAAAGATGATGTGCAGCATACCCCTCTAAAATTAAGTGCAACAGTGAGCAAGTGCACAGCAAACTAAGAATGAGGTGAAGATGTATGTTTGCTGCTTCTGGGTTCTGTGTCGTTTCGTCTGATGAAGTCGTCAGGATTTTCTTCTGAAGTGTGTTCTTTTGGGCTTCTCCGTGGTGTTTTTCTTGTGTTGAAAGCAAAGTAGATAAAAGTGAACTTCTGTGAGGTGGCTTTACTTTTCCCCTGTCCGTTCCAAATACCAAATAATTAACAAATCATCTTTTTTCTTTATGTCACTATCTCAGTACATCTTTTATCTTCTCTTTTGAGAGTCTTCTGGCTTTGATCCAAATTGATTTCATATAAACAGATCCCATTTTCTTAAGAGGCTTGGGCCTCGTTTTCTGTCTTTAAAAAAGAAAAAAGTTAGGCAAGTGTTTGCTTCTCCGAACATACTTGAAAAGATGAATTACTAATATATTTTCATTGGGTGTAATTTTTGCCAGTTATTCGTATTGACGTTTCCTCTGTAGTGGCCAAAAGCACTGAGCCTTTGATGGCAATTTGACGGCACCCATGAGAGCAGGGATGATGTTCCGTTCTCTTTCCTAGGGTCCTTCAGTACGCGCTGCCTAGGCACACCTCTTCCAGCCCTTAGATTGCTGCAGCAGGAACACGGACCGCTTTGTTGGTGGGCATACGGGGTATTAAAAGCAACGTAAGGATCGGCTGGAGGTTATCGCTTCTTTGGGAAGAAGCTCTCGTGAGCTTTCGGGGACCAGCCGTTCCATTAGCTTCAGCGAGCTCTTGAGCTGTACGCCTTGGAGGCTTCACTGGTTATTTATCTTCCTTCTTAGCAGGAAATTTCCCCAAATCTTTTTCAGCATCTTCCTGTTCCTTAAAGAAGAGGGTATCTCTGGTAGGCGTGTGCCCACAGATGCGAGGCGTAGCGGGAGGTGAGGAGGGCGATGGTGCTTCCATGCAGCAAGCTATGATGGGTGAGGAGGCTGAAAACCCCACCCTTTCGGAACAGTATTTCAGTGCCACTACTGAGTAACCTTGCTGTGGGAAGAGTATTTCAGTGTCTAAGGCTGTCCAAGCAGAGCACCCTCATGATCCCTAAAGTGATTTAAAAATGCACTAGGGAGGTGAACGAAACGTGACGCCTATCAGGTAGTGTTTTTCCGCAGAGTTTTTCATGACACAAACATTTTTGGTGTGTTGCTAGACCAATGTTTCATTTAGACAGGTAGCCTGTGTCAGTCAGTGCCAGATGTTTTACAGGAAGGCAGGCTCTAATAAGGCTTCCTGTACTCCACAGGAGGAGAAAATAATTCTTCCTAATCTAGCTAAAGATCTTAATCTCCGAAGCACGCATTCACCTGTGCAAGTTGATTATAACACATGTATTTTTAACGCTGATTTCTGTTCTTAGGTACACATTAAATTATTCCCACACATGGAGTACTATCCTTAAGGGCATTTAGCTGCCAGTGAAGCAAATTTTTGTCTTTTTTGAGGACAAGAATTGAGCTTGGAATTTTAGCTATTTGCTTCATTATCTTGCTCTAGTCCATTTCTCAGGTTAATTGCCTGTCAAGAAGAAGTATGTTTGCCTGCCTTCACGTGGTAAGAATGTTCTTAAAAATGTTCCTCCACAATATTCAAGAAGGCTTACCTGCTAACGTGTGGTTGCCCTTTTTTAATGTTTGTGGTCTTTCTGTCCTTGGGCTTAGTCATGGCGTTCTCTTCAGTTTGACACAGATGTTGTGATTTAACATGGATATGTTTGCCTATTTATCTGCAAGTATTTGCTTCAGTTGCCAATTACTGTAATTTAGCAGGCTACTGGTTCTCGCTGTTAAAACTGAGTCCGTTCGGAAAGCTCAGAGTAGTAGAGAGCACTTGTTAGAGTGTTATTTAAAAAAAATA